TGCCGGTCATGACTGGTTCGGGATCGGCCTTTGGCAAAAAACTGTTGCTGTTGCTCAACTCATGTGCCGAATCCATGGGTGCCATCAAGTCTGTCGCAGAACAACTCATTTGGGCTTCTGCATGTGTTGCCCTCGTTGACTACGACAAAGGGTTCATGCGCAAATCACAGCATGTCATTGGTTCCTGCTGAGTGAAAAGGCAACTGAACTCAACCTTGCTACAAACATGCAAATGTGTGGGGTGCCACAATGATCGATGCGTAAAGCTTAACGTATTGATACCCCGTCTACATGTGAGCCAGCCGTCCAGGCAAACAAAGCCGTCAGCAACGCAGATCCTGCTGCAGTGCAGCAACCAAAAAATAAACAAAACACATGGCAGTTGGCAACAAAAAAGGCCGTTGCGTGCAAAACCCAATGCAGCACAACCCGCCCAATCACTTTTCACAAAGACTATGATGAATAGCACGGATTCTGGGTGGTCCGTGGTGGACCCCTGCATTTCGTGCCAGTGCGTAGCAAGAGCAAGCAAGGTTGTGCAAGTTCACAAGTTTGTTCAACCACACTTTGCAGGTGGAAGCGACTTGCGCGCAAGTTGACTCTACCATGTGCGCCAAAGCTAAGGATCCCATCCGCTCCTGGAGAAGACAACGTGGTTTCCTGTCAACCCGGCCTAAACGACAGAACACCAATTACGCAATACCTAAACTCGCTGCCAGGAGCCTGTATTCTGCTTTGCACTCGAGTCGCGCATTGAAAGGCACCAGTTGTTTACCCATGATGACGGGCCATGACAAATGCATGGCCATTTCTACGTAGAGCTGCTACGGGCTCGGACGCGCATCAATTCCTGCAAACATGCCGCTATACAACAATGCTGGCCCATGGGCTCGATTGACACTCCCTTGTCGCAAGTCACATCACCCATTTGCTCCGCTCTTTTTCTCCTAAGGAAAGAAGCTCCGAAAATTGTCTTCGCAGCCCGCACTGCTTGACTCTCAGTTTGCCTGGAGCGGAATGCTGCGAAAAACCCAAACGGACGACCAGTGTTGTGCATTCTTGGGCCGGGAACCAAGCACATTGTTTCTCTTTCAAATGGCCGCATAAACACACCAGACTCATATCCATCCCAAAAATGACATGTTCGGTAAGCAAGTAGTCCGAGATCGACACTGAGTGGCAAGGAGGGCAATACATTGCAAGCAAAACAAGGATGCTGCCTGCTCCTCTCTGCCCCCCATCCTGGTCTGGCGCGCTGAAATGCCGTCGGGAGACACTAACCTGCTTTTTGCAAGATGCTGTTGTTCGTTGGGATGTCTGTGGTAGTTTCCAAGGCTTCCCAACTCCTTGAGCATGAGAAGCCCTAACGACCTATTAACATCAACCCGATTCCAATGAAGACCCAGCCGGGCTCGGGCTGAGAACTCACTCGATTCCTCGCTATGGACACGGATGTGCAAAAACTGAACAATCAAAACAGACGAGTCAACAACACAATCATGGCCATCGCGCGGCGAGCACAACCAACTGTGAAACAACCGCAAGCACCTCAGCAAAACCCATGGCTGCTGCAACCGCAGCCATAACCACGTAGCCACAGCAGCAAGAAAAAGACGCCACAGCAGCACCACAACTACATCACGTCCTCCTCCTCCTCATCATCGTCTTCAGCATCAGCATCAGCATCAGCATCATCATCATCATCATCATCATCATCATCATCATCATCATCATCATCATCATGACGTCAAAATACGCCTGCTACTAGCTAACCAACTATCCGCAGACCAACAGAACAGATCCTACCAAACTAAATATAGCATCAACAAGGTAGAGTACATGCGCAGTTGACACCATACAACAATGCAACATGGAATGACAAGCGTAATGTTACATACCTTCCTAGTTACCCTGTCACGTGGACGTCATTGCGATGTCCCTTCCTTTTCACCTGTCCACCCTCGACCATCAGACCGCTCACACAGTCCACGGGTCCACCGCGAGCAATGCACCCCCTCGCCTCTCCCGAAAAACTCAAGCATCTGCCAACTCCTGCGCGCCAGGACATTAGTGCTGGAAGCTCCCTACAGATCATATGCCGTGGGCAGACAAACAGCTTTGTACGGAGATCGACAGAGATGTTGCATGCTTCTGCAACATCCTTGATACACGGTTGATTGATAGCTACCCTTCTTGTTTACTCTACTCGGACAGGTGCTTCGATCATGGCAAAAATGGCATCATGTTGCTGAATTCAATAATGGTTCAGCACAAAAGCAGCTCTGGATGGCTATCCCCTACTCAAAGATGGACATTGCGTTGATTCTTGAGACTAAGACGTCGTCAATTCAACATATACAGTAAGGGGGAGGGCATTGCGCCGTACAACCGCGATGAAAGGTGACCATGTAAAAAACAAAAAAATGATTGCCAGGTGCCTAACTAAAAATGACCCCTGACGTTTGATGTCAGTGATTACATAGTCAGGGCCCTGATTGCTTTATTCCAGGGAAACGCCCCTGAATCATTAGGAACCAACCGTCAACACAAATCCTGAGACAGTGCCAGAAGCAAAAGTCACATGCATGCTTCTCGTGGTGCTGCCAGATGGACATGTCGGATGACATTGCAAATTGCAAAGGGTTTGCACGGGGCGTCCTGAGGCAAACGTTCGAATCAACACTGGCCTCCGATTGAGAATCCAAGCCAGTCAATCACAGCTGCTATGCAATAGGCTTCGGCTCGTGATTTTCCACCTACTACTCTGAAGCAACACACATCCTCACTGAAAGGCATAAAGTGAGTGACCATATCACAAGAAAGGCAGCAGTCGAATCGGACACTCATAAGTCAGGATCCGGGAAACTGGGAAAGTCCGACTCCAAATGGTATGGAATGGAGAACATCCTCAAGGCTAAAGAGACCTCGCTTCCATTTGAAACATGTGTCTCAACCCAGTTGCGCTAGGCAAATGTGCAAGTCGCTATTCGGATAACTTCAAGTTCATCTCGAGCGCATGGCAGGAATAAAGACCTCTTAGTTCACAAAGGCTGCAAATCGACATGGGTTTAATCAATGAAGCGTCACACATACATGCACTTGTCTGGCCTACCCATTGCACGTCTATGTGCCAAGCTGCATCACAGTCCCAATGTCGTAGAAAAGCAGGCAACAAATCTCTATTCACACCTTCAGGAAACAACGGCGTCCTCACATTACGTGTATATGATTATATGTGCTATTTCCCCTTATACCTTGTTGTCTCTCCAGTTCATTGTTTGCCCATCCAGGACTAGAACCGGGGATCTCTCAACCAAGCACCAAGCTAGGACTAGAACCAAGGATCCATCAACTAGGACTAGGACCAAACCCCGAATGCATTTGCTACTTAGAATCAGCCCCCTCGAATGAAGTCGACCGAAAGCGAATGACAATTCATTCGGAGCACAAATTCAAGATTCAAGAATTACTGCAGAAGTTTCCCCGTAATATTGAATCTGTACCTTTCCCCCCGAATGAAACCGAACGAGAACGAATGAAACTTCAAGATTCAATATTCAAGATTTCCTGGAGTAGTTGTGTCTGTAATCTTGACTCTGTAACCCCCCGAATGAACCTGAAGGAAAACAAATAACATTTGATTTGCCCGGATTCAGGATTCAAGACTCCAGGGACAACTTCCCCAGAAAATTATTGAATCTTGAATCCGGGCGAATGAACATGATATATGCGATTTCGTTCTGGAGGTACAAATTCAAGATTGAAAAAACACTTTTTCAGGAAACCTCGAATCTTGAATCTGGTCGAATGACATTTCATTTGGTTTGTTGCAAATTCAGGTACCCTTGCCAACGTATCTTTTTTAATATCGCCCCCTGGGTTCCCATTTCACGCCACCCATCAGCCAAAACAAAGAGGACCAAACATTTTCACCAGGGATCAGGCTTGTTCCACGAGTCTATCGGGCACGCCTCCTCCTTCGCCGCAAGTGCCTAGCGCTGTGCCACAGGCTCCAAGTTGGAGCCTCACCACGCCTCTGGTCTATTCTGTCATGTTTAGGGTTGGTTTGTTGCATGGGCGTAGGGTAGGTTTAGGCTAGGTCAGGGCGGGTGTAGGGTAGGTTCAATGTTGCAACAGGGGTTACCAAAAAAGACTCTCCCCGGCCTAGGAAAAAAGGCAATGTACACATTTACATCCAACCAACAATCTTTACTTAAACAGCCAGAACCGGGCAATACCGGAGCCGAACCACAAGGACACAATTTCAAGCCAGCACTGAACTCATGACCAACTGAAACACCAATACTGAACCAGAACTAGGTGGTATTTTAGCGGTGTGTGCGTGTGTTGTGTGTGTGTTGTGTGTGTGTGTGTTGTGTGTTGTTTGTGTTGTGTGTGTGTGTTGTGTGTGTGTTGTGTGTGTGTGTTGTGTGTGTTGTGTGTGTTGTGTGTGTGTTGTGTGTGTTGTGTGTGTTGTGTGTGTGTGTTGTGTGTGGTGTGTGTGTTGTGTGTGTTGTGTGTCTTGTGTGTGTTGTGTGTGTTGTGTGTGTTGTGTGTGTTGTGTGTGTTGTGTGTGTTGTGTGTGTTGTGTGTGTTGTGTGTGTTGTGTGTGTGTGTGTGTGTTGTGTGTGTTGTGTGTGTGTTGTGTGTATTGTGTGTGTGTGTGTGTGTGTGTGTTGTGTGTGTTGTGTGTGTTGTGTGTGTTGTGTGTGTTGTGTGTGTTGTGTGTGTTGTGTGTGTTGTGTGTGTTGTGTGTGTTGTGTGTGTTGTGTGTGTTGTGTGTGTTGTGTGTGTTGTGTGTGTGTGTTGTGTGTGTTGTGTGTGTGTTGTGTGTGTTGTGTGTGTTGTGTGTGTGTGTGTGTGTGTGTGTGTGTGTGTGTGTGTGTGTGTGTGTGTGGTGTGTGTGGTGTGTGTGTGTGTGTGTGTGTGTGTGTGTGTGTGTGTGTGTGTGTGTGTGTGTGTGTGTGTGTGTGTGTGTGTGTGTGTGTGTGTGTGTGTGT